TATCACATAATAGAGTATTTTTTAAGTGTTTGTTCTAAAACTGTTGGTCTTCGAATATAGTTTTAAATAAATTATATTCATAAGCACAACTAGGGGCTAAGCCCCCAAGAATGCCCAAAGCCCCCTCCAAAATAAATTAGGCAATTGTTTTATAGAATTAAATAAATAACTCGTCTATACTTTTATTTTCAGAAGAAAAAGATTCAAATTTCAGGAAAAAAAATTATTGATTTTTTATTTATTATTTGTTTTATGTTCTGTGTCGGGCGATTTGTATTTGGTTAATAAGACCAAGGCTGGGCATTAACGAGTTAAAAAGTTAAAGTTAAGTTAAAAAGTTAAGTTACTTTTAACTAAATTATTTAACGAGTTACTTTTATTTTCAAAAGTAACTTCCAGCTTAACGAGTTTCTTTTTTTTTTTAAACAACTTCTAACTTATCGAGTTAATTTATTAATTTGTCCTAATATAAATTTCATATATTTAAAATTATATTTAGTACTTACTAAGTACCTACTGTAATTAATACAATTACATATGTTTATTGAAAATAGTTAGACTTCCATTATATTGTGTTATTTGTTAAGCTTTGATAAAAATGTATGATAATATATTGTACATAAAAAAAGAAAATTAACTTATTTTTAACTAAGTTAAGTTACTTTTTTTTCAAATTAACTTTTAACTTTTAACGAGTTAAATAAATAAGAAAACTAAATTTTAACTTTAAACTTAACTTACATCTTTCTGTATTAACTTAACTTAACGAGTTAAAATAATTAGTTAACTTGCCCAGCCTTGAATAAGACAATTTAATTTATTAACCAACCACGGTATCCGTGCAACTAATTTATTTTGTGTTACTAGAATTGATGTAAAATTATCATTAATATAAAGCCGGCAACAAACGGGCGTTATTTTACGATTTCTACGATATTCACGATAAATACTAGTATATTTACTTATTTCATTAAACATGTATTATTTATTTCATTATTATGTTTCAACTAGACAACATCATGTCAAATGAAAATATTATTTTGTTTTTGGGTTACCATATTTTTATAAAAAAAATAAAAAAAAATATTTGTAATACTGTAGTACATTAGATACTAAACACTAAATAACCTATAATATGCAATGTTTCGTTGTATTTAATTGGTTATGATAAACTAAGTTAAAAACAATTTAATTATAATTTATACTAGATTAGTAAATATTATGAATAAATTAATATTTATATTTGTACCTATATATATCTCAACATTTTAAAAAAACCAAAGTGTTTAGTATTTTTAACTACAAAATAACTTGCATATTTTCGCAATTTCAGAAATTTTTGGACTTTAAAACCTTATAAAAAATTGTGCTTATTTATTTTTATTAAATGTGTATATATAAGACCAACTTATGTGGAACCAAGAAACCACTATTAAAGTTTATGATTTAAGCATTATTTCAACTAGTAATCGTATAGTATAATAATTTATATAGACATAATAATAAAGTATACAATAAAGGACTACTTATTTATTTTTATTTTTATTATAAATAGTGTAGTTTACATACTTATCAATTTTTGGTCCTTATATTTTAGATGTTCAAGCCCTTATTTTATCAAACCAAACACTTCCCTCTAAGCTTTTATTGCGGTCAGAAAACTTATCTAACGTCTTGTCTCATAAAATAGGTCTATTTTCAATAAGCGAAATTAAAAGCTCTACGTATCTATAGTTCTGTGTCTAACTGACTATTATATACTACATCAACTTCAGATGTCAAATTTGATATGTCGATTTCAGATTCTTTATCTGACGATATCTTGATTGTTAATACTTGATAATGACGAATGAACGAATATTTAAAATAAAATACTAATCGATCACGCGTTTTATTACTGCGTATGTGTTCTCCACCCATTAGTATAATATATTTCGACTGGGATTTCTCATCGCGCAGCAAGTTTCTGAAATGTCGCGCGTTAATTTTACAACACTCGTATGTTGTGCTCTTTTAAATTTAATGTATTTTAACAAATCGCAAATATACGGCGCGTTAAAATAAAACCCGTGTGTTGCCACTTTTCATAAATTACTAGAGGAGACTTAGCCCCTCCCCTTCTAAACATTTAGCCATAGTTGTGCCACTGATTGTATTTAATTTTTTACTAGTATTGAAAAAACAAAGGAGAAAAATGTAAAATAACTTTGTTAGAGTCGAATTATTAGAATTTTCAATTTACCAATTATATGAATTGTCTCATATGAATCATTTTTACAGATTTAATCATAAACATAAAGTTTATTTTCCAATAAAAAAAAATGTAAAGTAAAATCAATTAATTCTATTACTTTAAATTTAAAAAGTGTAAAATTAGACACTAAATTACCGAGACTATTATTGTGAACGTGATAAAAAATATGTAATTTTTCAAAAATATTAGTAATAAAAGTTAATTAATTCTTCAATGTTATCATTAAGATTTTTTATTAACATTAAATAATAAGAATAATCAAGTTTTAATGATTTACTTACAAAATAAAATGCAAATATCTTTTTTGATTGAGTATGGGTTGGTTAATTGAACCGTTATTAAACTGGCGTAGGCCACTAAAAGCGATGCTACGTAACACATCAGACATTTTCCATGCAAATTCCGTAACTTCTTGATGAGTGCGTAAACGATAAATGTCATAAATAAAAATGGCATGGATAGTATCAATCCAGTCAAATACAATAAACGTATGTTGTCGTTCATAAATTCATTTTGGAAATTTTCTGTATTTTGCTCACTGCAGACGATGGCTATCAATTGAGAGTCATCTTCGGAGAATTGCTCTAAGCAAAATTGACCCGGTGAAACTATGAGAGACCCCATCTCGATTAGCAATGATCCGTTTTCAGATACTTGAAAAGAATCATTATCTCCAAGAATGAATGGATTTATTATGTATTTAATAGCGTTTTCACTACACTGCAATATTTTATGTACTAAAACAGATTCTTTTGCCTTGAATGATTCAACTGCCCCGTTTTGGGTTACTAATTTTGGTACCTAAATCATAAAATACTTTTACTCCTAAAATAACAATTATGAAAGTATGAGAAGAAAATAATATTGTCAATGTAAGAAAGCCGTATTTAAAGAGTGTAAACAAATAACCAGGGAAGAAATGGATATAATAATAATAATAATAATAATAATCGGTATAATGATTTTGTATTATTAAAATTATTTTTAAGTTTGATATATATATTATAATAACACGTACAGAAATTTAGCCATATAATTAATTAGCTCGGATGATTTTAATTTTTAATATATTTGCACAAAATAAGAAAATGGCACCAATTTACCATATCGACCAATCCGCAAGTATTTGATCTACTGATATCTAAAGATATATTGATTATTGATTATTTATACGAGTACATTATATATGTTACGGTTAATATCCAAAATATAGCTTAAGTGCACACTATTCGGATAGTGTGCACATTATCCATAATAGATAAATAAGTAAACACTTAACATTTAGAATCATGGTTTCGTATATTAACAGACTATTTTTTAATTATTGGGTGTCTGCCACTTATTATGTCATTGATTGTTTTAAAATTAATATAGCCTGGAATTTTTTTCTATAACAGCATACATTTTTTTTTCACAACATCTCTTATTGGTTTGCTTACGAGTTTTAATTTTTGAATCGCTGATTTGACAATTTGCATACTATAATTTAAGGATATATTTTTTTGTTTGCCTAATTTTGTAATTGTATGTGCAATAAAACTAAACTTCACTGAAATAAAAATTAAATTATTTTTAAATATTTCATCAAAATCTCAGAGCCTATTTCATTGTTAATATTGTCTATGTTTTTCATGATGTGTTTAACTTACATTTTCATGCCCCAGTATCAAACAGTTAAAAATGTGTGATTCTTTTAATATGAAACTTACATTTTTGACTAATGATGATGAAAAATTTATTATTGAAAATGAAAAACAGGTACATCACAGGAAAGCTGAAAAAGACAGAGAAGGTATGAAATTTGATGATACAGAAGCCAAACTAAACAATAATATTACATGCATTTCATTTTATTTAATGAAGACGTTAGCAACTCCCATCGTTTCCACTGGAAATATGTTATTACAACAAACAGTTATGGACTTATTGTCTTGGTATTCATGATCTTGACATTGATAATTGAATATAATACATATAACTGGTATAACTGATCATAATAATTATAATTAATAATAATCATTATAATTATTATAATAATACATTAATTATTATTAATAATTATTTATATAATAATAAATTATTTTTATAATTATTATATAATAATAAACAATTTTTCGATAACAAGACAACGGGAACCGACTTATACCGCTCTCTGTATAACATTTTGGGGTAAAGAGTTTGTACAACTGAGTTTATATTTCACTAATAATTTAGCTTCTAAAAAATCACAAAATAATATTATATTATGTTCTATAAATTGGGCCAATCCACAAAAGTTATAATTTTGGTAATCAATATTTTCTAAAATAAAAAGTGATCCAACCCACATTTTAACTTAAATAACTTAAAAATTATGATGCTTCTATATATATATATATATACATATTGAAGAGGCATTAATTAATTTACAAGTATGTGACTGCATTAGTTTCATTTAAGTTGATCCTTAAAAAAAAAAAAAATAAAAAAAAATTTTATTACATAATTTTATTTTTGATGGTTTGGCCGATATGGTTTTACATGCCTTATTTATCTGCGGATTTAATAAAGATTTATTTTATAATGAAAATCCCGATGGAAATTTTGATGTAGTTTTCGTAAATAAAATTTACAACGTTGATCGTTGCAATTATTAATATAAAATTTCAAATTTTCTATTTTTACGTCCTCCCTTCTTGTTACGGCCTTGAGCGCATGTACCAGCGACCGACCTTTAAACGATCGTTGTTAAAACGTACGAGCTCACCATAAATGATCGGATCGATTCGTTGTCGTCGGGTACCGGACACGACAGGTTCTTCAAGTAGCCTCGATCACAGCACTTGAGCACGCAGGGCTTTAACGTGCACGTGCACAGTTCGTAACCAGAACCGTTCACCGCGAACCGGAACTGCGACGCGTCATACACCCGTTCGGGATTGCCGATCCGCAGCATGCCGTCCACCAGCCGAGCTTCATCGGTCACTGGTTCGGAAATGCTCATGGGACAAGCGTGGTCAACGGCCGTTTCCGACAAGGTTGACAGCAGCAACACCAGCAGTATCACCACCGATAACGACCGGCACGGACATATAATGGCGTAGCAAGGGTATGGCAGATTGTGCCTATGCCAGGTTCGCGAATTGCAAAGAGGCACCAAATTATGCGAAAGTCGCATTTTTATAAAGGACATTTAAATAAAAAATTTCATATAAAGAAATTATCGATGAATTTGCTAGTCATAGAGCGAGAATTGCAGATTTTCAAAGTTTAAAATTAACACTGTAATAACTTATAAGTATAAATTGTATACTTACAAATACTAGTAAAATTAAAGGTTAAAAAAAATATCGTGTCATCGAATTTTAATTATTTCAAAAACGTTTTTTTCTAAGTTTATCAGGGTAGCTAGCGAGTCTTCCTACGCCACTGCGAACATATGATACTATACGCTACGGCGAGTGTTGCATACGTGAGAACGGGAACGGACTGGGACGACGGCACTTTTCTAACGATCGAGTTCACTGACTGCCGTTACCCGCTGAGAATAACCGAAACCTCGAACGCGCGTACACGCCGATGTGAACGTTACGCGTAGTTCGTGGTGGGGAGTGATCATGTTCGGTGGGGAACGAAGTTCTCCTGGTCGCAGTGGTCATACGGCTTGGCACGAATTGCATACGGAGTAAAGATGGAAAGTATAGTTAATTTCTGTGAATAGTTCATTAGTTCACAGATCATTCAAGTAAATAGTTCAAATGAATTATTCTTAAGTTCAAGTAATTCACTAAATTTATTGATCATACTGATATTGTTTGGCAATGAACTATTCGTTTTTTCACTATTAGTACAGCAGTACACAGTTCAGTAGTAGTTCACACTACATATGGGCAATTAAGCATTTGTTATCTAATTATAAACAACTGTTTACCATTTACAGGATTTCGAACAACGAACCACAGAGAATTTTTAAAAAAGTTCACGAACTATTTCATTTATACTATGCTACCAATTTTTTCGAACTGTGAACTGTTAAGTTACAGGTACTGAAACAGTTCAGAATAGTTCATCAAAGTGAATAGTTCAAATGAACTATTCGTTCACGAACTTAACATCTCAATTACGGAGAACACAAAATAAAAACCTTGAATTTTCGTACATAACAACAAGCATACCGTAAAACAAACATACATTTAATGTACTACAGAATCAAATATTATGCGAGCTAGAGATGTAAAGTTCGTGAATGAATAGTAGTGAATGAACTATTCGCTTTGGTGAACTATTCTGACCTGTTCCAGTATCTATAATCTAACAGTTCACAGTTCAAAAAATTTATTGATAGCATTGTGTATTATAAACTGTAATACAGTTCGTGAACTTTATATCATGTCTTTATTATTTACCATTAAATCTTTTAAGTTTGTTGTTCAAAATCCCAAAACAGCTGTTAGCATTACAGTAACTGTTCATGAAAATAATTTTGTTAGATATTACTAGGGCTCGGATGTTTATGAAATTGCATATTTTTTCTATTTATCCATTTTAATACACATTTAATTCATGTTCTATTGAATCAAATAATACTATTTTTATTTTGCATATTTTTCCTTATTTAATGGTTTTGTTTTTTTAATTGCATAATTTGGGATTTTAAAAATAAAAATGCATATTTCATATTTATAATTTATATTTTTTATTTTTAAATTAATTAATTATACTATTAATTCCACAATTTGTATATATAAGTTTTATAGGACGTGGTAACTAAAATTTACCACGCATTCAAGGGGGACTGGGTACCGAGGGGCTCGGGGGGAGTCTAGTGGACCTATTATTATTTTGCATTTTAAGTTATAAATATTTTTATTTAACTGTGCTCAATCCGTCCAAATTCGGATATTCTAACGGTAAATAATTGGTGTTTTACCAGTATATTTTAATATTACATTTTGTATACGGGTAATTAATATGACACTGTCGAGGGCTCATGGGGCGATCACCCCTTTGCTTCTCTGGTCAGACTACCCCGGTATGCATTGACGTAAAATATAAATGTTTAATTAAAAATAAATTATTATCGACTTATCGTGTTTGTTCGGGACTACAGTACCTAATAAATAGGGCTCGGAAGTTGATGACCTTAAAAACATTAAAAATTGATCTATAAAAACATGCAAATATGACATAAAAATGACAAAAAATTATAAATATTTGTTTTAAATTAATAAAAATACATGTTTTTAAATATTTTAATTTATTTTACTATAACATTCTGTATAAATTTATCAAAACTTACTAATTACTCCGAAATATGAAATAAAAAAATGACTAACATTTATTTTTTAAATTTATCAAAGCTTAAAAATTACTCAAAAATCAAAATAATTTCATTGTATAATTAGAATTGATAGTAAATAACTAATAAAAAATAAATTGAAGGTTGAGGATCTTGCATTCTTTAAATACGCTCTAATAAAATTAGTTGATGAAAAATGAAGTTTTTCACGGTACAAAAATTTACTTAGTGATAACAACCGCAGTTACAAATTTGATCAAATTAAAAAAACCATAGCAGTACAATGTAACGTTAATAATATTATAAATAATAAATAATAATATAAATAAAAGTAAATAAAACGCTATGCAAATTTAAAAAATGTATTTTAATTTTTTTGTTCATAATTTTGTGTTTTTATTGACTAAAAATGCATATTTTATAATTTCTAGCGCATATTTTGATTGCATATTTCGTAATTTTCAGTGCATAAATGCATGCATATTACAATAGTTATAAGTGCATTAACATCCGAGCCCTAATAATGACTAATTCTTTTGCAATTCCTATTACAGTATTATATTATTATCAGTTGTCGTATAAAAATGTTGTATACTTTAATAGTTTAATGACCCGTCTAAACTCTGTAAGTACTTGCATTATTATTTTTGAATACTATTAATCCCGATAATAATAATAGTAGATCTACGTATTTGTTTAGTTTTTATTACCTATTAATGTCAGACATAAAAAGTAAAAATAAAAATAATGCAATTATAATAATACCAAAATTAACTGTAAAAAACCTTTACAATTATCGGTTCCGGTGAGGTTTCGATTTTTAAATAAATACAAATAAAGGTTCCGGTGAGGCTCCGATTTTAAAATTAATTTAAATTAAGGTTTCAGTGAGGTTCCGGTTCCAAAACCGGTTCTTTTAGGTACGGTTCCAGTCCCTGATTTAAACTCAATAACATAAGGAAACACCTCTTACTTTTGCAATGCAACAAAGGTAAAAAAATAAAATAACCTATCTAATTGTTTAACTATTAATTTATTTTACTTTTTTAGTAATAAATTTAGTAGAAGATTAAAGTCTGATAAAAGTAAACAAACAGGAAGACTCAGCAATGCACAAGTGTGTTTAGTGTCAATTTTTTTTTAAATTTCTTTTAATTTTACTCTCAGGTGCCTAATTTAAACTTTTTAAGTTTGTAATTTCAACTGCATATAATAACGGATATTTTTATGTTTTTTAAGGCATATGTAAGCGCAAATTTAAGGACTTTTAGCGCAAAGTTCCGGGCCTTGGTTATCAGTATTTCCAAAGAATAATGAGTTTGGTATAAATAGACATACATCATACATCTTTTATAAGATTTCAATCACGTATTAAACTATTTTTTTAATTTTATAAATTATTTTAAGTATTTTTATTTTTTTACTTTATTCTGAGAAATACAATATTCTTACATATTCCTATTTAAATAATATTTCTTAGAATTTTGGTCGTAGTTTTTTTATAATACAATTGTATGATGTCATAATTTATTATTTCCAATTCAATATAAGAAATATAAATAAAAAACAATTCAAAACAAACGAATTCCAATGAAAAAAAGATGGTTCATCATCAACAACATTTTGATAAAGACATTTGAGAATTATTTGAAGTATTGTTATGGGCTATCATATATCATATAATATATAATAAATATCTTTTTAATAATTGATATATTTTAATACGGGATATGTATGATCATGTAATAATCGATATATTTAAATTTAAAACAAAAATAAAAGATACTGTAAAGTCAATGTATTATATCCTTTTGTTATAATTATATACTGGTCTATATAACAAAAAAAAACTATGTAATAAGAATGTATGAATTAAATCTGGAATACTATGAATTACAAATGTGGTTATTACAAGGACAACGACACACAAACAGCAGGTGCAAATATCTACATTTCCTGAAAATCACAGAATAACAAATTCAATGACGTCAATCAAGCAATATAAAAGAGGGATCAAAATGACCACAATTCAGATGAGTTCTAGTCACGGAACTGCAAGCTACTTTACGTCACTCTATGTTATAATTTGTTAAACACTTTGAATATTAAAATAAATGTAAAAAGTTAGTCTTATGTTTGATTAATTAAATTTAAATACATCATCGACTGCACTACTTGGAATCGAGCTGGTGGCACGTAACAATTGGCGCTGCGGACAGGGTTCTTCAAAAAGAAAAATATTTATATTATTTTTTTCATAAAAATATATATTTTTTTCCGTGGAGGCAGTTTAATTCATTTGAATCACCGAGAGAAGAAACTGATCACTTTTTCTCCAACTTCGAAGAAAGAACATACACTCCATTGTGCAAAATTTCAAGTCAAACAGTCAATGATGTCTTTTGCGATAATGCGAAGACGGATTAGCAGCCCATACACAAAAGGTTTTCCCGTCAGTTTTGGAATGGCATTCCAAAACTGCCGATCAGGTCGTCAGTTCTAGTCCATCGCGGTACAGAACTTTTGATACCCATTTACTGTCATTCCAGATCTGCCGAATTATACCGCCCCTTTAGAATGTAACGACTAGATATGTAGGTGTATGTTCAAAACTGTCAATTTTCCTGCGGTTATGATGTGTCACTAGATCTTTTGTCGTGTTAGAAATATTTTTTGCCATTCCTACGGAACAGTACCTAGTATGTAATTTGCTTAATAGTGTGTTCCCTATATAATTATACATATATATATAATATAATTAGACGTTATACCTGACTTATCCATATAAAATGTATAAAAATAAAAAAAATAAAATTGCAATTATATGTGCTATGGCAATTGTTGCGCACGAAACTTCAAAAAAAAAGATAAACAGAAAAACATGGGTAAAATAATGAATAGAACAGAGAAGAGAACAAAGTAATGTAACTCTACTAAAGGATTTAAAAGAAAATAATCCAGACTTTGAAAATTATTTAAGAATGGATGATACAGATTTTACTAATTTACTAGGTAAGTAATTAAACTTAATATAGCTATAAAAATATGTATAAGTGACTATTGTGACTATCAGTAAATAAATAAAAATTACTAAATAATTTATAATTTACTGGTGTTTATGATAAGTACTTGAATAATTTTATATATTTGTAAATAATACGTTTATATTAAAACAACGCAAAAGTACAAATTTTAATTTTAAAATAATTATAAAAATCAACGACACCACTTGGCGTGTGTAGTTAGTGTTTACACAGTGTCCATACACGTACAAATCAAATAACAATATTTATCTTCCAAAAATATCTTTAGCGATAATGTTCGATTCGCGGTCTGTGATATTTTTATCCCATATACGTACAAATCAACTTGAGCGATTTGGTCGGCTAAGGGTAAGTTCACATGGAGAGCGTTAAATGCGCGTCGACATTGACCGTATGATATAAATTTATACATAGGTACAAAATATTTTAATAGTTATATTAATTTTTGGTAGTAAATAGATGTACAACAATGTACATAAAACTTTATTTTAAAAACAAACAATATGTATTTTTTTTTTTAATAATAGTTTTAAATAATTAATTTATGTATAGAATTTTTTTCCAAAAAACAATATGAAACAAAATAAATTATGTCTATATTATATATTTAATTGATTTTAAATTTTATATCAAATTATAAAATACAAAATAGTTAATAATACTTAACATGGAATTTTTTTCTTTCTTCCGTGTCACTTGGGTCACTAAAAATTAGAACAATTTCTTCCCAGGCTTTTCTTTTACTGATTTTATTTGAATATTCACTACTTGTCATATCCTAAATTGGGGGTCTTTTTTCAATTTCGTCAATGAATAAATCAGTATCAAATTCCTCACTATCCATTTTTGATTTTTTAGAAAACTTTTTCGAAAAAACAAATGAAAATATCGAAAAACAAGAACCTATCGCTTTAAAACGCGCGTTGCAACTGAACACGTCAATGCAAAACTGTACAATGTTCAAACGCGCGTCAACTTGCGCTGACGCGCGTTGACAGGTTTTTTGCGCGTTTAGCTAACGCGCGTTTAACGCCTCTCATGTGAACTAGTCCTAAGGGACAAATCCGACAGATAAACCTTTCATGTATGGCCTGCTATTACCAGGAACAACCGAATGCGGGTTGCGTGAATAGTGTATAGATATAATATATTAGCAATCGTCCTATCGACTATCGGTATGCTTTATTTTTATATGCACATAATTATTAGAGTAAAGGTATTTCCATTTTTATTGGGAAATCGACGGACTGTATTTGTTAGCTTGTATGCCACTATAAATATTACAGTACAGTGGCGGTCAAATGATTTTGTCATGGGGGGGGGATGTGGCTGATTTTTTAATATGCACTACTATTAATCATTAAAATATAATTTATGGTTATGCCTAATATCAATTTTTTTTAAATTCAGGTAAATCTTTACTTTATTTATAGCATATAGGTAGGTATACAATATTACTAATATTAACAATATTTGTATTATATTATTAAATCTATTTTTTTGTTTTTTTTTGCTAATTCATCCAGCACTTAATTGGATGTTATATTTATAATTCCCCGATGAACAGCCATAGTGGCCAAACCATTGAGACGACTCTAGAATAATAAAATTACACAATTAACAAATATATATATATATATATACATTATCACAATCACAATTTATAGCAGTCATAAAAATATATAATGCGCACACAGTATGACTGTACGCGACACGAGTAACGGGACGACAGTTAACACTGTGGTCTGTGTAACAAAATATTGTGACAAACGTAATAATAATCGACGAATTTGGCCAACTATAATGACATAGCTACGTATTATTTACCGATGGGCCGGTCAAGGGAGGAGTGTGTTGTTATTCACGATCACCGAGCTAGGTAATTCCCGTATATTTTGTATAAGCAACTAATTACTAAATATTAATAATAATAACAGCCTTGTTCCTAGAACGAGTCTAGAATCTAGATAATAATATACGCTCATGCCTCATAAGCGTTATTTTAAGAAAAATTAAAACAAAATGTAATACATTAACATTATTATAGTACAATAAACATAAATGTAATTGTTATAAATATAAAGGAAAAAAAAGCCATAGGGGGGGGGGATCTATCCCCCTCATCCCCCCCGTTTGACCGCCACTGTTACAGTATACTAATATACAACGGCGATGAAAAATCTATAAATAAAAATGTTGAACAATTTGTATTATTTTATTTAAATTTGACGTCCTGTTCATAAAGTAAAACGAAAAAAGTATTTAAAAGTAGTATTTGATTTTAAATACAGATACTTTCAAAAATGTATTCAAAAACTGTGCGCAAGTACTTACGAATATTTCTATAATTTCTCTTGCATTTTTTTTAATCTTGGATAGTTTTACATCTTCCATACGACGATCGTATTCCTCATTATTCATGAACGATTTGTTGTCATCACGCTTATCGCCAATTAGTAATAAAATTGCTTTATTAAATTCATTTCGCATTTTATTGAGATCCATTTTTAACAAACGCACTGAATGTGTAAATAACAAATACGTACTGTACTAAGAAGAACACACTATTAAAGGTGGTATACTGCATATACAGGTTAGGGACACTTTAAATAAAACACATAAAGATTGCGATAAATATATGCGATATGCGATAGACATTTTCCACTCAACAATTTTATCGACGGGTGACGATTACAGGTTTTAGTATATCGCCGCTACGAGTTAGTTATCGTTCTAATAGTTATATTGTAAAACCGGTTCCACATGACTTGCAACATCATGAGTTCCAATGCTTTCGTGTAAGAAAGTAATGAGTGATAACATTGTCTAATAAACTACGGAAATGATGAGAATTCCTAGGCAATAATTTCCTTTCGCTACTAGGAATTGTCATAATTTCCTAGGATTGTCATCCTTTCCTAAAATGTCAACATTTCCGGTAACATATACATACTATAGTACTATCGAAATTATCGAAAGTAATAATTCACATATCATAACATATGTATTTTTCATCTAATGGATTATACGATTTATAGACTGATTATTATTTTTAGACATATAGTATGGCCACATATGTTGGCAGAGATAGACATTATTCGAATAAAATATTATTCTTTACTAATTTATTTTCATTTGATTATTGTTGATTATATTCATCATTTAAATATGAACGATTATTCATTCTTCATTATTCTAAACAATTTATTCATTATAATGTATTTATTATTTGGATATTCGTTATTCAATTATTTGTTAACCATTATTCTTTACAATTATATTTTACTCAAACTTTTTCATACATGTGTTTCGACTTTTCTCATATTACTTATGTAATATTACTACTAATATTACTACTTACAAATTGTTAAAATAATACTTATTAAATATAATATTATATTTCTTAAATTAATTTAAATATAATATACATCCTTATTTATATAATCATATACTTTTTATATAGTTATATATTTATAAATAATTTAGAATGTATTTAGAATAAGATTAAAAAAAGCGTGCACAGTAAAATATTTTAAGAGCAAGATTTTTTTATTTAAGATCCCCTAAATTAATTTTTTTTTAATGTTCCGAGGTTTTAATATTTAAACCAGAGCCGACTTAAGATACGTTCGACTCGTGCGACGGCACAGGGCGCTAAAATCAGAAAGGCGCGCGAGAGGCGTCAAAATTAGAATTAAATTTGATCAATTGTTGGCGACGCAAATTATCTACTATAGATAGAAAAAAAATTTCACGATGTGATTTCATATAAATTTGATTATTATTAAAATTATCATTATGTATTATTCTATCGACATGCAAAGATTGGCCGCACTTGTAGGTACAGTTTTATAAACTATCACTATAATATTATTATTACAAGTATTATTATGTTTGTTCTATGATTAATTTACAAATATGTGGCAAATATGCACGTTTTAAAAATTATTTTGAGTATTTTTGATTATGAATGAGGCTTAGGTTATAATATGTAGAATGAGGATCCTCCAGCTCCCAAAATTCTGCCTGTTTGAGTTATATGTTTAAGTCGTTTAAGATGGAGGGTTGACAAAATAATTCTTGCACTGAGCGCTGAAAGAGCTAAAGCCGGCCCTGCTTTAAACGACCCAAAACTCTTTATAAATATGTTACACAATTATATGTACTTACATACTAAATTAATTATAATTATATAGTACTAAAACGTCGGAATATGTCACTCAGTTTATAGTTTATCTTAGCTCATAGTGTTATGTGTATACTCTTCTATACATTATGTATCATTAGAAAGTAAACTCAATCAGTTATGTTGAATTAAAAAAAATGTAAAAATCGAATAAAAATAATAAACAATGTCAAAAATAAATAAACGCAGCGCAATTGGATTTACCGATGTTCTTATACTGTATATATTGTATTTTAGGTAAAGTAGTCACGTAGTGCTTACAGTAATATTGGGGTTGAAAACTGCAACTTACTTGTTTTGTTGCTAGGTTATTGTAATTATATAGTGTGTCCATGAATGAGCCTACTGTCAGATATGTTTTACGCTTATTGATTTAGTTATTGTTCGAAGTATTTATACGCGTCGCAATGTACAATTTCATGAAATTATTTAGATGATTTTATAAAGTTTAAATTCGATGACATTGTTCGTTATGAAAATACAATGAATAATCATGCACCAGGAAACATTATAAATATGTCTGTTACACTTTTTATGGCTTTGAGAAGACAACGTATACATGGAATGTGCTCTCAAGTATCATAACACAATCTTATAAGTCTAATAATTATTTATTTATTATGTAGTAGGTGATCAAATCTGTTATATTTGTTAAATCTGTTATCATTTATTTCATCAAATAATATTTCATAGTAAAAATATATGTGTAAAATTAAAAATAACTTTTCAAACAGAGTAGTTAATAATTAGAGAGCTTGTTAGATAGAATTGTAGAGCTCTGCATATAAAGAGATTAAATATTTTTAAAATAATTTTCAAAAATGTAAAAATTAATAAAGGCAAAGAAAATAAAGACAGATTTATGTTATTCATTAATGCATAATTTATGACATAATATATATAAATATTATCTAATCTTAACTTTTTAATATTATTAAAATATATTTCTGTCTTTTGTAATTTGTATTAATTTTTTTCATAATTTTTGTTCACTTTTAAAATATTTAAATTGCTAAGATTTTTCGAATATATTACATCATACATAAATTAACATTTTTTAAAATATTATGTAAAACGACATTTTTACAAATAAATAGATGTTTAATTCAAAACAAATATAATTTGTATCTCTAACTACATCTTTGTTCAAAACTAATACATATTTTTTAAAATTTAACCGTCAGCTGTTAAATTTATTATTAAATTATTTTTGAAGGACAAGGCCGACCAAAAAAAATCAAGTTAATAATTGGAATTCCACCCTCGTCGATATCCGTTCACGTTTAACCACTAGAATTTCTTACGAATCAAACTAATCAGTATATTAATTATAATTGGGTAATAGAAGTATTTTAGGAAAAATGGACTATAGACTTCTGTGGTTTGTAAAATGCATAAACAACGTCTTTGAAATCGATAACGTGAAAGAGACGGTAAATCTATTCGGAGAAACACTGAACAAAGACGGAGGTCTGTTAAAACAAAAATTCATCCAATACTTAGAATCTTCGATGATTAACAGAAATACGAACACTAATATTTTTTACGTTTATACAACTACCGTAAAAAAAGTCATAAAAGAAGAAATAGAGGTAGAAGAGGAACGTAAGTAATTAAATTTGAATCCATAACATTATATTTGTAAACACAACATTATAAGAACATTGATATACAATACAATGGAGGAGATATTACAAAAAAAAAATACACTCAGTTAACTCTATGTAAAAATATCATTAAAAGTAATAAAAAATAAAGGCCAATCGAGTTAAAAGTTTTAATATCAAAAATAGGCTAAATTATTTCATAAATTAATTAATATTAATTAGTATTTGTTAGTATAATTAATATTAATAGATATATTTATAATTGTGTTTAATGAAACATGTTTATTAAAATAAAAATAATTTAACTTAGATTATTGGTTAAATCAATTAAAAAGTTAAAAAATAACAAACATATTGTACCTATATACATATATAATAATTGTAATATTGTAAAAATATACAATGGTGAATATCATGTCACATTAGGAACATTATATAATTAGTTTTTAAGTTATAAATAATAGAACCTACCAAGCTAAATGTTTTAAAATATAGGTAGTTTCTAAAAAGAAACATCGATTAATAAAAATATTACATTTTTTGTTTAAAAAATAATAAAAGCAATGACAAAATAATTCTACAAGAATTGACTGTAAATAATTATTTTATAAGATTATTATTTATTATATATTTGTTTTATATTTATTATATATTATATTATTATTATTTATTATTATTTTATAAGATAATTCTTTTATAATATTTCTTTTAATTTCGGTTTTATAGTCTCTGAACTAGAAATGCAATCGCTGAGAGATTCTGATAGCAAAAAAAAGAAGAAAAAACACCACCAAGATAGGAAAAAAAAAAAAAAACATGTTCATAGAGAAGACACATTAACTAGTGCTGATTCACTGGTAACAGATTCCGAAAATGAATTAGACGACGGAAAATCAAGAGATGGTTATTCAAGTCCAGATACTGGTATTTTTTTTTTAAATAATTTCAGATTATTTTCAAAGCTAAATTAAAAAAAAGCATTTTCTTTGCTGTAGTTGTTTTTTTTAAATTACAAATTTAAAATTAAATGCATTTTAAAAATAACAAGTTCCTAATTACAAATATTATATTTATTAAATGTATTGAAGAAATGTTCGCGTACTCATAATCATTAATTAATATTTATGCGAACAAAAATCAGTAGTGGTATTTAAATTTTGTATTATTGAATTTATTTTTCTTACTTTCAGCAATTCAGATGGCAGACGAAGATGCAATAAGAAGGCATTCTGAAAAATTTTACAAAAAAGTTAAAGTGAGTATATGATAATAAATTATTATCATATAAATCAGGGATTCTCAAACTTTTATAAACACTGTACCCCTTTTTACCAATACATTTTTTTAGATACTTCTTCTTAGTCATTAAACTAAAATATATATAAAAAAAGTTAAATATTTACATACCTCATACCTACCTTTGTATTTTATTAAAAACTAACAAACAAAAAATGTTAAAAACAAAAAGCACTTACTTTCAAAGAAATTAGTAAGAAGGGTGAGCTTGTTTCTGTTGACACAGTTGATCAATATTGGGTTCAAATTTAGTTAAATACAATATTAAATCATTTTCATAATTTCATTTGTTTCTATATTTACTTTTAGCATAAGTTAAACTTTAAAACCTTTTTTTATATAAATAAGTGGTGGAAAACCCAACAAGAAATTTAACCCTCAAAAGCCTGAATTTTTTTTTGAAAATTTTTTTACTTATATCATGCAATTTTAGAGTCTGGTAGATTACTAGAACACAAATAAAATTTTTTGAAATTTTTTCCTCAGGCAATTTCCGAGAAAACAGATGTTACCATATGGTCACACTAGGCTATAATGAGGTGCAATTTAGTTATATAATATTTATAAAGTAATAAATCAAAAATATTCATAGTTTTGTAGTACTTTTTACTCATCTGTTATTTTATTTAATATAGAAATATTAGTTTAAGTTAATGACAATGTCAAGTATTTTTAGTTATAATAAATAAGTAAAATATAAAAAATATAAAAAAAATCATTTGGTATGAAATGTTTTAAAACAATCAACACAAAGTCCAACATCGCACTTATTACACATTGTAAATATTATAAATTATAAATTACATTATAAATATTCTGAACTGTCGTTAGATGGTAACCACACTACTAGTAAAATCGATATACATACGGAGAATCAATTGCTATGATTAGATAATAAAAATATAACCACAGACGTTCTTTACGTCTGACTTATAAATAGATTTTGTTGTGTTACCACATGGACACATCAGGCGTTGAAGGGTTAACAACGGTGCTAGACAGTTTTTTTTGTTTCTTCCCACACAGATCCAAAAATTTAACAATGTAGTAGTGTTGTAAAAAATACTTTTAAAATTGTATTTAAATACAGAAACAAATACATCCATTCAGAATGTATTTAAAATACATTTCAAATATTTTCAGGAAAAAGTATTTTAAGAACAAATACAAATACTTATCATGTATTTAAATAGTTTTCAAATAATTTTTTATCTTTCTTTTCTACTAGTTGGTAAGCCAAATTAATTTTGTAATAACTAATTTTAAAATACTATTATGTTACAGTCAAGTATTATTAAAAGTTTTTGTACCACCTTCTTAATTATATTATACAGAAAAATGAAAATAAATAAAACTTGTTTTATAATTACTATAGCAATTCTTTAATATAAAGTAATAAAATAATTGTTGAAGAGGATATACAGAGCATTTAAAACAAATCATTCTCAAAAATGTTTGTTGCACTTTAGTAACATAGTTTTTTCAAAGTGTTCATCATTCATTTTTCCTCTTTTTTTTTGATAAAATAGCTTCCCTAACATTAAATATTGGTTCAACTGGACGGCAGTGGAGTATTATACTTGATAAGAACTTTCTTCAATATGGAAGTCGAATGAAGAGTTTCAGCTATAGGGGTTCTCCACATAAATGAGTGAAAAATATAAAATATAAAATACTATAATAATAAAAAAAAAATAAAAATTTGATAACTGACAACTGACTGATTTTCAAATAAAAATACGTCCAAGACAGTATTTAAATACATTTACTCAAATACTTTACAAGACTGCAATGTAGTATCAGAACTTAAGTATTTGTTTTTCATCGTGGGATCACACGAGACTTCAATGAGCTACTCCTTTTCAAAAGTTGTCAGGTTAGTGTCCGTAGCATCATCATCAAAGGGGTCACATATCCAATTATACTGTTTCTTTTAAGGTCAAAAATCCTCTCTTATACGAATCTTCAGTACATTCAAGTGCTGGCCTATTTGAGTCTTAAGTTAGATAAGTTTTTCTTATTATATTGCAAAAATATGTTTAATATTTCGAAAGGCTCACAGTTGGTTTTTTGTATTTCCTATTTCCAGAGAGTAATCTTTTTAACCATTACAATGGTTTTTTTTCTACATGAAAAATATCAGAAACACTGCTCTGCATGAATAAATTCCAGATATTGAGTTTTTCATAAATATCACTTTAATAAGCCAACTTCAAAAGCTAATTAAATTCAGTAATCATTGATGATGTATACAATTTGTTTTCGGTTACCTTGAATTTTGGAGTTTTTACCTCTATTTAAATTTAAAGGTTTGTTGACTAGACTCGTACTTTTGTATTTCGAGTACCTTCAAAGAAGGTACGTACAACAGTTTGAGAACCATGGATATAAATAATAAAGATCGTGAAACAAATATACAACGTACTAATGGAATAGAAGCTATTAATCTGATCAACTATCTAAATAATACTTTTGTTTTGACATTTTAAAAAATAAATTAAAATATAGAAAACTTAATTTCATTGATTAATTCAGGGTAAATGATTTATTAATACATAATGAACACAACAACCTTATACCACAAATGATAAAAATTTGGTGGTCGATTGTATCATAAACAGTGTTAATTTTAAAACTCACAAATAACTCTAATAATCTTCAAAGTATGTAAAATAATTTAAATTTTGGTGACAATTATAATTTTGGATTGAGAATATTGCTAAAGTATCACGAAAATTAAGAAATTTAATACAAATATTATACAATATGTTTAATTATATAAGTGTTGAACTTAATCAGATATTCACTATTTATACGTATATATAATATATAGACATAATATACATATATATCTTATAATATCTAAAAACAACGAAATTCAAAAAATGATTAAGCCCATATTGTAAATATTAGTTACTTATAAAGTATTAAGAAGTAAGACCAATACAATTATGACGATACATTGCACATTATAATATAACTATTTTTATTTAGGTAATCCAAGAAAAAATAATTACACTTCCAGAGCTGCATGTACATTTTGGATGTATGATTGGCAATATAAATACTAATCAGATATATTTGTATTTTGTTAAAAATACAAACACAATTATTCCTGTGTATGATTTAGCCGAAGAAGCTGATTTCTATATGCCCAGTCATTTTTTAATCGGCAATAAATCAGGATGTTTGGTGAAATCGATGGAAACCGAACTAGAAAACATCTGGATACCGTCAGTGAAAAAACTTTTGATCGATCCGTTTTTACACGACTGTGTTACAACTCGCACCGAAAAAACAATTCTGAAAACATTAGCATCGTCGTGTGTATCATCAACATTTGTGCGGATAACTCGAGAAATTAAAGTGCAACATGATTATGAGATCCGTAAATATTATTTCGAATAAAAATAGTCGATTGTTATTCTAATCGTTATTATCACATAAATTTTAAATTCGTGCGGAAATATATGAATTGTTGTATATTATATTTTTAGTTATTGGAGAACGACCAGATGACTACGAAACAAGGCCGCACTCAGTCGACTTGGAAAAAATCATAGCACTAAGTGAACTTTTTGTCCTTGATTCAGTTTCTATTCACGATAAAAATAGTTCATCGGAACCACTGAAACATAATTTCCTAACGAAACTGCAATGTTTATTAGATAAATTAAAATGGTATGAATTAAAGCTATTTTTCATTGAATACTAGGTACAACTCACCAAGTCGTATTTAGAACTGCTAATAAAATAAAAATATTATTTTTCTCCATAGTTTTTCATTAATTTTATAAAAATGTGACATTTAATTTATTTTAATTGTATATACTTTTATTATTCTATGCCCCCCCCCACTATTCTAAAAAAAAAATATATATATTTATAGTAAATTATCATAAATGAATTTAAGTTACAAACACAAAATATGCATAACATAATCTATTGACGTTATTAAATATTATAAAAAAAAAGTTAACTAGGCTCGCGCTGTGTTGTACATGTATTATATACAATATATATTTTGATTTAGGACATTAGATTACATGTTCAAAAAACAATCGTTGAATGTTACTGAATATTTAAGCGGTCTTACCAAAGATAATATAGAAGAAGTAGCAGTAACTCTTGAAAAAACTCCAGCTATGATTTTACAATGTGTTAATATCTTAGAAACATGGAATTCTCGAATGACAAACCTCTGTTCTAGCATTTTCGAGGTATTTATAATCATAATATTTCTACTTATGAAATCGAGCAAAAAAAATTTGAATACTGAAATGTATATTATTTTTATAAATAATAGAATTATATTTAGTTAATATAAAATTAAGAAATAAAATTAAAATATAATTCAAAAAAGATAATCAAAAGGCTCAGTTTAATTAAAATGAAATAAAGTATTTAACCACATAAAATAATAAATTAATACAAAAGATAACTGTACAAAAAGCAGAATCAACAGCATAAATACATGAAGTGGAAACAAATACAGTAAAATTATAATATTCTCTTCAATAATACAGTATATAAAGTATACTGAAAACAGAACTTACAATGAATATGAAAAATTAAATTTTATTACATCAGCTAATGGAGATTTAAACAATTCTTAAATACTCGTAGAATTACAAAATGTATGTAATGACTGCGCTACATGGCACCAGAATATAAGCTAATCACTACATTAATTAATTAGTTGATACAAAATAAAAAAAACGAATGAATTTAATAAGACTTTTTTAACTTTATTTTGAAAACTGCACTAACTGCTAGTTTGCGCATGTATTACATAACCTATATACTAACATGCACTGTGTACAGTGTAACCACGTACACTACAGATCCTTCCCACTAAGCAAGGAACCGTATCATCAATCAAAACAATTTTTTTTTTAAATAATAATTATAAGAATTAATCATAAATATGTAACAACAAAAAAAATGTATGAATACAAAGGAATTTTCATAATAAAAAAAGTTATGTCATAGCAAAATACAATAGAACCTTAAGGTTCCTAATACATTAATAAATAATATAACATCTTATAAAATACTAAACAACTTTTATAAATTTAACCGATTAGGAGTTTTTTTTAATCCTCTCACTCTTCTCCTTTAATCTATAACTTTGGAACCTCCTGCTGATCAGTCTTATGTTTATCATCAACTCCACTTTCCCCTCTCCATACCTCATTAACAGGTAATGATGGTAGTTGATATTTTGGCCCCACAACAGATTTTGTAAAAGTTTTAATACAAGAATTGGTTTCAACATCACTAGTTTCCCATAACTGATTAATATGTCCCTTCCAAATCTCACCCCCTACCATTTGTACCACATAAGTTACCGGAAATAATATTTGAATAATAGTACCTCTTATCCACTTAGCCCCACTAGCATCATTTTTGCAAATCACATTATCCCCGATTTCAAAATACTTAACTCTACCCTCCTTATAAGCTTTCTTAGCTGCCAACATACTATTATTATATTTATATTTAGCTCTCGGCACCAATCTAACAAAATATGTAAATAACTTCCTACCAATATGCAATTCAGCTGGTGTTACACCTGTAGCACAATTCTTGGTACTATTATAAGATAACATAAATCTAGCAATCTCTGTTTCTAAGTCAGACTTCATACCACTTTTTTTCAAAAAGTTCTAAAAAGTTCTGACCAAATTTTCAGCAGCCCGATTAGACGCCGGACTGTATGGGGGTGTTTTCACATGGAACACTCCATTCTTAACTAAAAACTGCTCCATAACTTCTGACACTAATAAAGAACCATTATCTGTTACCAGCTTCGCAGGTATGCCCCACAGAGAAAAAATATTCCCGTAAAACCTTAATAGTGGATTCTGTAGTAATATTATTCATGAACTAAACATGAGCCCATTTGGAATGTGCATCAATTATTACTACAAACATCTTACCATAAATAGGAATAACCAACCTATGTCCCCATAATAACATACCTTGTTCAATTGCAAGCTTGTTCCTCCTATTAAAATAAGACTTCATATCTTTAGACAGTTCTTTACAAGAATTAGGTCACTTTCCTGACATCACCCACAAAAAAACTTTTTTTATACCTTATCCCTTTGAATTTCCTCACAAATATCTAAATCAGCAATCCCCTGAACATTAGTAGTTATTGAATTAATAAAAAAATGACTACAAAATACATGATTGATCATATCTGCCCCCTCAAGTGATAATCGGGATAAAGCATCCACATTGTCATTGTCATCTCCCTTCACAATTTTAATAATATAAGTATAACCAGCGAGGAAAATTGCATACCTCTACAGTCTATGGGCTGCCACTACTGGAATCCCCTTTTTTTTCCAAATATTGATATTAAAGGTTTATGATCTGTTTTAAAAATGAAAGGTCTGCCATACAAATATTGTTGAAAATATTTAACACCATAAACCAAGGCCAAAGCTTCCTTATCCAGCTGAGAATACCCCGGCTCACTTTTACTAAGCGCCCTAGACGCGAAGGCAATAAGCATTTCTAACTTATCGGGAAATCTATGTGACAGCACTCACCAATACCATTAGGGCTCGCATCACAAGTTAAGACTAATTCCAAAGTTGTATCATAATGTGTAAGTACTGTTTTTTGATAATAAATGATTTTTAATATTAGCAAATGCCTTATTTTGCTCTGAATCCCAACAAAATTTAACATTAGCTTTCAATAAAGAATACAAAGGACTAGCCAAAGATGACATATTCCTAAAAAACCTACCATAATAATTGACTAGACCTAAAAACGTTTTTAATTGATGAACATTTTCAGGAGCTTTCACCTGAGCAATGGCTTTAACTCTTTCCTCAAGAATATGCAAACCCTCCTTATCAATACAATGTCGTAAAAAAGTGACACTATCTTGCTATAATTTACATTTACTAGCCTTTAGGTTAGCTAACTTAACCTAACCTAACCTAACCTTTTTTTTTTTTTCTTCACCGATCGACAGGGGCGGACTGTTTGCTTTCGCGTCACACTACTTGCCCCTGCCAAACATCGTTTATTAACAAACTTACATCACAGGTCGGGAAGTGGTGGGCCAATCCCCCACTCGCTGTCCCTTACAAACAAAGTTCATTACAAGGTAACAGGGCTCTGCCCCTGTAATTTTGCTCTTCGAGCCACATTATAGTTTGCCTTAACTAACTTAATCTGCTACAGCTGCCATCTGTATTGCTCTCTCATCAGCTTCTTTCCTCTTCATGATTGTTGTGATGTACTTCACGATCGTATTCCACTTCGATTTGAACTGCACCATATATTCTACCATTCGCTCTGGTGTGACGTCCATTCCCAACTCCACCTCCAGATTTCGTCTTTCCTGCCACCACCTGTCACAGCCGATGAATGTGTATTCAACATCATCATGTGGGTCACCACAGTAAATGGATTCGGCATCATTCCTCTTCTTCCAGCGCAGCAGGTATTCATTGAAACATCCATGTCCTGACAAGAACTGCGTGACATAGAAGTTAACTTGTCCCCACTTTCTACTATTCCACCTATTAATCCGAGATATTAGCTTGTATATCTAACAACCTGAATTGCTCTGGTCCCATTCACACTGCCACTTAGTCATCGCTCTAGTCCTCGCTTCTGTTTTCACCTTTTTCACGTCTTTTCCGTCTTTCTTTGCCTGTTCGATTTCTGCTCTTTCCGCTTCGAGTAAGTGTATCGGTACTATTCCAGCTATCATCATTATGGCTGCGTTAGACACTGAGCAGTATGCACTCGCGACCCTCAGTGCCATATTCCTCTGCGGAGAATCAAGTTTCTTTTTATTTACCTCGTACTTTAGTGCATCGCACCAGATCGGTGCAGCGTACAGTAATTGTGAGTGTACGACCGTCATCAGTAGTTTCCTCTTCTCAGCAATGAGTCCTCTAACATTTGGCATAAGCCGACAAAGCCTTGTAGCTGTTCTCATGCTCTTTTCGCTGGCCGTCTGTATATGTTTTCTAAACCCTAATGCAGAGCTAAGCTGTACTCCAATATATCGTATGTCCTTCGCGAGCGTTATTTCGTCTTCGCCAATTTGGAATGAAGGCTTTTCGTATCCTCGCTTGGTTGTGAGCATTATTGCCACGGATTTATTGCTCGATAAAGACAAGCCTTGTTTATTCATCCACGTAGATACTATCTGTAACGAGTCGTTCATGGCTTCCTCCAGTAGCCGGGTGGTATGCCCTGTGGCCACCACTGCCGCGTCGTCTGCGAAACACACTATATGAACGCCATCTGGGAGTTCTAGCCGCATCAGTTCGTCGTAAAAAATATTCCATAGAATCGGTCCGATGACCGATCCCTGCGGTACTCCGGTAGTCACTAGGCACTGTCCACCATCAGTTATGATTTTCTGCCCATCGAAATAAGACCTTATCACGTTTATAAGATACGCTGGTTTCCTTTTTTTAATTAGAGAAGCATCGATTCTTTCCCATGGTGCGGAGTTGAAGGCGTTAGCCACGTCAAGCGAAGCTAGCGCACACAACTGGCGATTGTAAAGTTGGCCGCTTCCCACTTTGTTCACTATGTTCATCACTGTCTCAATCGCCTGGTTAGTAGATCTACCTCTCATAAATCCGAACTGGTGCTCGGAGATGCCATCAGGTTGTTCTAGCAGGTGCCGTGTGATCCTCATTTTTAATAGCCTCTCAAACAGTTTGCCGACTGAGTTTATTAGACATAATGGCCTATATGACGACGGTTTGTCCAGGAGTTTATCTCCTTTGCGGAGAAATACCAGCGTTGCTACCTTCCAGCTATCCAAGAATACTCCCTTCTTCAAGCAATCATTGAAAGTCGGTAGCAACAAGTCAGGACGTACCTGTACTATGACCCGTAAAACCTCGTCTGGTACGCCGTCTGATCCCGGTGCCTTCCCTCTAGGCAGACTACGCCCTGCTTCTACAAGTTCTTTTATTGTAAGCAAGTCGGATTCCTGAAGATGGAACGATAATACTGGATATACCGGTGGTTTGTTGCTAGGGAATAGGTGGTTGACGATAGTGTCCAGTCTGCCAGGGAGTATAAGGCCCGGGATCTGTCGCCTACCAATTAGTTTCTTAGTTATAAGTTTGTAGGGCAAGCCCCAAGGATCAGTGTCAACTTGCTTGCACAGATCGGCCCAACATCTTTCCTGGCTTCTCTAGATTTCCAGTCTTAGTGCTTT